CCGGAGATAGTTGCGTAAATTCAGAATGAATTGATGGAATACGTTGCAAGAGAAGCTGACTCTGGCCTACCTGAGGCCACGATGTGAACCTTGATACGTGAAGCGACGTTGAAGAAAAAGCGCAAAACCCAACTACTGTCGACTCTTTTGACATCCTTGAGGAAAGCTGAATTAAAACATAAATTGGATCCTACCCCGGCCAGTTTAGAGGCAGTGCAGAATTCACGGAACTCAGTTTGCAACACCTTATTAGAAGGAAGCCCAAGTGGAATTATTACGAGAAGGCGAATAAAATGGACACACTATTGGCGAGATCCCTCGCAACGAGGCACACACATCACGAAAATTAAGAACATAACGGGAAAATATAGCACTAACCCCCCTGATATCGCTAAAGTGTTCACGGACTACTATGCTACCTTATATAACCACTCAAAAGGAGACTCTTAGGGCGCCCGCAACGAGACGGGGGGAATACAGGAGCTTCTGTCTCAGATAGAGCTCCCTAAACTCCTTGAAGCGGATGTGGAAATCCTGCAACAACGGATCTCGGCTGATGAAGTGGATGCAGCTATATTGGTGTTAAAAAGCAATAAAGCACCAGGCCCGGATGGCTTCGATGGTAGCTATTATAAGATCTTCCGTGAGGAACTTGTACCTCACTTGGAGACTTGGTGCAATGATTTAATGGAAGGGGGCACAGTGGAAGGGGATATGTCCCTGGCAGACATAGTTCTACTACCGAAACCTGGCAGGGACGAAGAGATCCCTGGAAACTTCCGCCCGATCTCCCTGATAAACCACGACTCCTAGCAAAAGTTCTAGCAGGCAGACTAAATCCGATGCTTTCCCGACTGGTCCACCCGGATCAGGTGGGATTTATACCGGGAAGACTATTGTTTGAAAATACGAGATGCAACTTTGACCTGATTTGGAGGCAGGCCACCAGGGGCACGCCGACCTTGATTCTTTTGCTAGACGCAGAGAAGGCGTTTGACAGGGTCAAATGGTCATATTTATTTGAGGTCTTACAACACTTTGGCATGCCGGCCCAATTTATCACCGCAATCTGGGTCATGTACACTAACGTGAAGGCGCGAATACGGATTTCAGACGCGAAGGTCACCCTGTTTCACTTGAGCAACGGCACTAGACAGGGCTGCCCCCATCGCCTTTACTATTCGCCCTATCCCTAGAACAATTGTTACAGAAAATACGTGCTTCCCCAGGTGTTAAGGGAGTTGCAGTGGGAGGACAGCGATACATGGTTTCCGGATTTGCAGACGACGTGCTCCTAACAATAACAGACCCTAAAGACTCTATGGTAGCATTGACAAACATATTACAAACCTATAACGATATCGCTGGTTACAAAGTGAACCTGAACAAATCTAGCGCACTTCCCATAGGCATGACTGACGCTGACGCAACCTACATTGGAACGACCTACCACATAAATATAGCTCGGGACTCCATCAAATATCTAGGCATACAACTGACGGCCAACCCAACTCAAGTTTACCAACATAACTACACCCCACCGATCCTTACTTTAATGGGGGATATGGAGAGATGGCTGGACAAACCTATCCCATGGATCGGGCGGATTCACTCCGTCAAAATGAATATTCTTCCTAGAATACTTTTTCTATTCCAGGCCCTCCCGGTCCGAGTGACTAAATCTCAGTTAGGGACACTCCAACAGGGAATAGGCAAATTTGTCTGGCAGAACAAGGGATCTAGAGTTTCCCAAAATGTGCTTTTTAAGGCTAAAAATAGAGGGGTCCTGGGACTCCCAAATCTTTACTATTATTACATTGCAGCGCTACTGGCCCAGATAGCACTCTGGCACTCTGCCCCGGAGGAGTGAAATGGGGAGATTTGTAATCCTCCCTTACGGGGGCGGATTTGCCCCAATTCTTGATATGGATCCCTAAAGAATATAGGCCGATGGTGCAGACAACATGCCCAGTTATACTACACTCACTTAAGATATGGGATGAGACTGCCGTTAATTACTGCCTGACATCCTCCCCCTACCCGATGACCCCATTCCTGCTGAACAAATCGTTCCCCCCCTGGAATGGCAGCTAGGGACTTTAGGGGTATAGAGAATACAGGATTGCATAGACTAGGACAACTATTCGAGAGTGGCTCTATGGTAGCATTTGAGGAACTTAAAACTAGGGCCATATTAAGACCGTTCGACTACTTTCGTTATATCCAGCTATGGGACTATGCACAAACTCCACAGGTTAAGAAAGTAGCTCTAACACAACTAACATTCTTTGAGGGGATGTTCCGTAGCGGGCTAATCTGCTGCCTCTACACTCACCTGAGCACTCACACATTGGAGTGGGGACGGATTACATATACAGACCAGTGGGAGGCAGACCTAGGGGAGGAGCTGGAAGGCTTAGAATGGCAGGAAATATGGGAGGCCGCCGCGACATCCTCTGTGTGTGTCTCCTTGCAGGAACAGTCATTCAAGACATTATTTAGATGGTACAGTACACCGGTGAAACTACAATGAATGCATAAAACTCCAACGGACTTGTGCTGGAGAGGATGCGAACAAAAGCGCACCTACATTCACATGTGGTGGGAATGTCCAGAAGCGCAGTCATACTGGAAGTGAATAGAGGCACTAGAGCGAGATATCTTTGAAAAAGAGGTCAAACTAGATCCATGGGCATTCTTACTGGCTAGATCCCTGGAGGATTGGACACGAATGGAACAAAACCTTCTCCATAAGATAAACCTGGCGGCCAGACAAGCTTTGGCTCAGGTGTGGTTACAGAGGGAAACACTCACACTCCCCATGGTGATACAAAAAAATAAAAGATATTTTCCTTATGGACAAACTAACGGCACAGGTTAGAGGGACGTTGAAAAAGTTTGAAAGGACTTGGGGCCCATGGATGGCCAATGCAGCTAGCGAACGAGGGACGGGCGGGGTGGACTCAGTCCCCCATGCATCCCGTTATCTCATAATAGAGGCCACGAGACAGCCGAGTATAGAGCGTGCCACCATCTGAGGGGACTTCGTTGATACCCCTAAGAGACACTTATACACTGAACTACCCCAGTGCACATTCCCAATATGGTCCAGCAATCTGTCAGCGTCTCACTAGTGGCAAAATGGTCAAACCCCTATACTCCCCCCCCCCAAATCTCTCCCCACCTGTCTTTTCCTATCCTATTTCTATTACTTTTCTATCTATCCTTACAATCATCTTCCGACTCACTTCGTACGACTTTGCAGCGTAGATTTAACACTAGGGATCAAAGGGTAGGAATGAGATGGTTCAGATACCATAAGGCTCTTCACCACTCCTGAGCTGGAGGTGTCCACTGAGAAACTATCATTCCTATCTTGATGGAAAACGTATGTATAGTTGTGCACAGTTTTATTTTGTATATATATATATATATATATATATATATATATCAAAACTCAGGGTGGGTTGTCAGGTGTGGCACATTTTTGAATTGGTATACCATTAAGAAAACTAAAGCACAATATATAGGGTAAGTGCGTGTTCTAGCACTATTCCTTCACTGAAATTTTCACTTTATATTCAGCGCTACACTCATGAGAAACTAGGGATTTGGGGGATATATAGTATCTACCTAAATCCAAAGTTCTCTCTCTTTTTTTTGGTGTTTATCTATGAATGGTGGGTTATAAGGAGTACCCACGGAGTGTATATAGCAGCTAAAAATCACAAATTCACTTATTATATAGCGCCATCATTCCACATTTTTTTGTGTGTTCACATTTTTGAATTGGGCCACAGACATACTGCACGGCTTCAATGTACGGATTACCCATGTTATACCATTCCCGGCACTGCCTTTATTACATATACCTGTGCAAATATTGATTAATTTATTAATATTTATACATTTATTAATGTGTCTGTTTAAAGTTAACGGAAGTTTTGTTTATGCTGTATCTTTCATCCTGTCTTGCAATAAATAAAGAATTTTTTTTAAAAAGTGTGTCTTACACTAGTGTGAAGAATCCCCCTCCATTCATTCGGTACTTTCCCTCACTGCTACTTTATCCATGGATTTATTACTGTGACGAAGTGCCCTTCACCACTTGTGCCTGGAGAGGACTGCTTGCCCGCCTCTTGTCCTGTGACTATGGACCCTGGGAGACTTGGCCCATTCAATTCAGTATGATAGGAGTTATGTATTTTTGTATCCTTTTGTGTTTTACTGGGAACATGTGCTCAATGGAGTCTGCCACTATCCCTGGATATAATTGGATTATGTTCCCCATTGTCTCCAGGATAGAGGGCTCTGTAAAATCGGTTTGGGCCAGGTAGCCATGCTGCCAGCCAGGCCCCAAAAGATACTTTACTAACTTCTGAACCCCTGGTCTGATTCATGCCATTTTTTGATATGTTGTTTCCCTGAATGGATTGATTGTGAATATATAATTTTTATGTGAATGTGATGTATATTTTAGAAGTTATGAATATGCTGTAAAAACTGTATTTTTCCTACCTGTGATAATTGATCTTCTATTGTATAAGATAATTGAATCACAGGCAGAGGGGAGGATTTTGTGTTGGCTGTAACCTCTGTTTTATTGGCTACTGTAGGTAACGTGTGTGTCCCTCCCCTGCATGGGAGCAGTGCATAAAAGAAATTGTAGCTTGAATACCTGTTGTTGTTACTTCTAGTAAATTCTTGTTCCAGCATTAAGCCTTGGCTCATGTTTGGGGAATTGGAAAACTACACTCTGGGGATTGCTATAATCATTTACTCCCCAGAGTAAACTCTTGCAACAGCTTGATTTGTTCCTGCTACGCTCTCTGGATTTAGGAGAGGTTCACCCACTGGGAGCTGGAACCTGGTCGTGGATCCAGGGTGGGTGGAGACGACGAGACCCTGGCACAGCTGTATCGCTGGAAGTGGGGTCTGCAGTGCTGATGGTGTCGGTTGGGGTGCTTGGAGTCCTCAGCAAGCACTAGGTGCATCGATTGGCGGAGGTACTCAGTCGGAGTGCCAGCGTTCCGTCACAACTAGCCATTAGATTTGCTGATAGCGACTGGGCAGCAAAGGCCCAGTCGCTAATTTAGTTTTAAATGAGAGTGAGCAGCCTCTGGCTGCTCGCTGTTTAGGCGACATGCCTCTACTCGCCGCAAGTAGGGGCAGGCGGGAGGATTTAACCTCCCTTTTATTAATATTGGAGTCATACAAAAATGAATGGTATACGGACAAAATTCGGAATGGAGGAATGACATTTTTATATTTCACTGGTGCACATGTCTAATAGATAACAAATTAAGCAGCAATATGCAATGTCAATCGACATTTGCTAAGGCCAGTAAGGTTTTGTCTGGTATAAATTGGGGCATAATATAATAGTGCCTCTTTATAAATCACTG